AATAATGTTTTCCGTGCTCTTTGTGATTTTTAATATGTGAGCTCTAGTTCTCGGAACTTTACCTGCAAAAATTCTTTAAGAACCTGGTCAAAGTCAAAGAATCCTCCAGAAAGGATTTGCATTTTTCTCTAAACAGGGACCACGGAGGTGATTTAAATTAAGCCTTCAAAGCTGCGTGAAAACCAGCCTACAATGGTTGATTCTCAAGAGACTGTTTTTCTTCCACCGTGCTCAATGCCAAAGGTCAAAACAGGCGATTTTCCTGCAGTCCCCAATGGGTGGAGGAACACCTTCAGTTTACCTTTATACTGTTGGTAAATACCTTTGAGAGTCCGCTATTAGGCCATTCAGCTGGGGTGGAACCAGGCTTTGCTTCCTGTCCCCACCCTCCTAGGCCTTGGAAACTGAAGTCTAGTTTGACAGATGTCCTCAGAGCAGGGCATTTCTTTGTTAACTTCTCTGGCACCCCGCTTTAACTCTGCTTTTGTGATCCGGGTAGGACTACTTTTTTTCTAGCTCAGAGGAACATTTCTTCAGATGTCACCCAGCACGACCCTTCTCCTTTCTGTCTGCCCACCCCCTTCCTTAACCATTAAGCCCTTAGGACATCAGATTCTGGTCAGCATCAAACTGTTTTAAGAACAAAGTCTCAGGCCAGTTGACCACAGAAGTAAAGTTTCGGTCAAACTAAAGATAACATCTTGACCTCGGTTGTGTTTTCAGCCCCAGGCTGTTCAAAGCAGAACAACCCTACCGACCACATTCTCATGAAATTAGACAGAATGACGCCACTGTTGACATTAGGACCTGATACCAACAATCAGCTACTCCCAGCTCCTGTAATCACCGTGATTAATAATTTTTCCCCTATATAATCTGTTCCATGCAGGCCCACAGGGAACCAGGTTTTATTTTTTATTTTTAGCATTAAACTAATAAAAGATCTTGCAGGATACAAGATCAGTATTTTATTTTTTTATATTGTATTGATTATGCTTATTACAGTTGTCCTGATTTTTCCCCCTTTGCCCCCTTCCCCTCAGCACCCTCCACTCCCTCAAGCCATCCCCCTACCTTTGTTCATGTCCGTGGGCCATGCATGTAAGTTCTTCGGCTACTCAATTTCAGGGAGCCAGGTTGTAGAATACCAGTTCACCTGTGCCTCTGGGTTTAGCGCCATTTACTTAAATAAATCTTTCACTTCTTTGCTGCAAACTCCTGTTCCATTTTACTGGTCTTTGATATACACAGGCCAATGGACCCCTAGAGTCCAGAACACATGCTGGCTGTTTTTAGTAAGGAGAGCTGGTCTGGGATCTATCCTATCACACCCCTGGCTCCTTGGCCTGCAAGGGTGGCTGTGGGGAGAGCAGTAGGAGGCTCTGCAGTTCTCAGGGGAAAAGATAATGGATGAGTCACAACCAGGTGGCAATGGTCAATGGTAGTCAGATTTTGGATATAACAAACAATAGAGCTGTCAGGATTTCCCAACAGATTGTATGTGGGTCTGAGAGAGGGGGTAAAAAAGACAAGAATTACTCTACGGTTTTTGAAGGCCTGAGAAATTAGGGGAAAAAAATACAGTTGCTATCCACTGAGGTTGGGAAGGCCACAGGTAGAGTTCGGTGTGGGGGAAGATTAGGAATTTAGTTTAAACACATTGTGTTCAAAGGTCTATTAGACGTCCACGTGGAGACATCAAGTAAATAGTTGGATATATGAGTCTGGAGCTCAGGGGAGAAGTCTGGGCTGGAGCTACAAACTTGGCAGAACTGACCAATGTTTCATACTACTTAGACAAACCAAATAAACGTAAGATGGTCTGCAAATGCTTAGTCAACATGTAAACATGGGTAGGAAATGCAGCACGACTGTTAAAAGGGTCACCAGACCATTAGTTTGCGCTAACGGTTACACAACATGTGGTCATCAACACACTCTGTTCCCATTAGCTATTTGCTAGAGTTCTGTGTCAGTCCTGTGGCTTGAAAGGAATGTGAAGAATGTGGACAATGCCTGGGAAAAAGCCAGCCACATAGCTGAATAGAGGGAAGGAAAATGATATCCAGCAAAGGTTAAAAGAAATGAGATTATTTAGTCAGAAATGATTAATAGCAGAGAAGTCCAGATGCCTGAAAGCAACTTGCCACCTTTAGGTCAAATGAAGTAAAAGAAAATGACCTTTCATTTTGGCATGAAAGACCCAGATTAAAAATAAAAAGGGAAACTAACACATATTCAACACCTACTATGTGAGCACTAGGTGTTGGCCCAGGCACTCCTGCCTTTTCATAAACATGAAGACCCTTGAGGCAGAAATCCCCACTTACACACAGATCAGAAAAGAGGGACCCTAAAGGGCTAGGTCAGCTCCAGGCAGGAGAGCTGCAATCTCAGTCTGGGTCTAATAAATCCAAAGTCCATGTTCTTTAAAGTGTACCGAATTTCCTAATGGAAAAATTGATAAAAAGTAAAGCTGATTACTGACAGAAGTAATAAAATAATTTTTCCCAGATCTTCTTAAATTAGAAGAGATTCTGATTTGTCTAGAATAAGTCAGTTTGCAAATTCTCTCCTAGTCCTAAACCATTATTATAATCCAGAATTCTGAAAGCAATCATACCAGAACCAAGAAAAACAATCATTATTTTTCAGGGAACTATTTTTGTTCCTTTTTTCCTATTCTATAGTAAAATGCATATTCGTCTTCCTAAAATATACACCAAATCCTTTAACAAATTTCAATTTTTAAGTTAAGGTAATTCCATACACAATTAAAGGGTCAAGGTCTGTCCTGGGCTTGATCGACCTTGTTTTTATTTGTCTGTGGTAACAATAACTCTAAAGATATTAAGTAAGATGACCTTAAAAAAAGATCAATGAGGGTTTGAGCTATGATTACTATGTTTAAAAAACAAAACAAAACAAAACAAAATAGTATTGACTTCACAGATAAGAAATCCTGACACCCCCATGGCAAAAAGGTGCACCCACCGCTACTGTACATGACCGAGGTTAAAGCAGGAAAACTCCACCCGGCCGAAGGGCACCAGACTCAGTGAGTGTGAGAAACAGACGCTCTTGGGATGCTTGCTCCCTATGGAGCTGCACACATTACAATGAAATTCACAACAATTTTCATTCAGCTCAGGAAACTTTCTAGAATAGAAGAGCTAGAAAGGGCCCTGGAGAACAGTTAGCCTAAGGTGCTCTTTTTATGAGAAATAAACAATTTGCAGAAGGGGCTGAGGGTCACTGGCTGCAGGCCAGCTGAGAGAGGGGTATACAGTCTCAGGACATCTGTCTCAGGGGCCAAGCCAAGCTGGACCTAGAGGCAAGTAGGGCTGAGAAGTCCCCCAGAACTAAGGCTCCCATCGCTGAGGCGTGTCATTAGTCCTAACAAAAATGCAAATTAAGACCACAGTGAGGTCCTGATACAGCTCTATGGGAATGTCTAAAAGTAAATAGAATGATCATATCACAGACTAATGAGGATATGCAGAGGCCAGAAAGCTAACACACTGCTTGGGGGAGAATAAAATGGTACAAACACTTTGGAAAACTATTTGACAGCTTCATAAAAACTAACATACACCTACCACATGACCTAAATATTCTACTCCTAGGTATCTACCCAAGGGAAACAAAAGCATATGGCCATGCAAAGACTTACACAAAATGTTCATAGCAGCTTTAATTATAATAGCCAAAACCTGGAGACAACCCAAGTGCCCACCAACAGCTGAATAAATAACCAACTGTAGTATATCCACATAATAGAATACTATTTCGCATGAACGGATCTCAAAAAGTTCTCCTGAAAGAAACTAGGCATAAAAGAATACGAAATATATGAATCTATGTATGTAAAATGGCAGAAAATGGAAATCAACTGAGAGTGCAGAGAGGGTGGGTGGCTGGGAGGTGGAAGCACAAGGTACCTTTGGGGGCGGTGGGTATGTTCACTATCTGGACTGTCGTGATGACTGAACAGGAACCTATGTATATGAAAACCTATCCGTTGTTTGCCTTAACTGTGTACAGTTCATTGCACATCAACTATACCTGAAAACACTGTGACAAATAAGAACATTTGCCACCAAGTAGAACTGAAGTGCAAACATAAAGGTTAATCTAATAAGAAAAAAATAAGTCAATTATTTTGCACACACTCAAGTGAAATATGTACCTACTAAATACACAGTGTTAAAAATTATAATAAACAGCCCTGACTGGGTTGTTCAGTTGGCTAGAGCGTCATCCCATACACCAAAAGGTTGTGGGTCTGATTCCCAGTCAGGACACATACCTACATTGCTAGTTTGATCCCTGGTTGGGATGTGTACAGAAGGCAAACGATTAATGTTTCTCCCTCACATCAGTGTTTCTTTTTTTCTCTCTCTCTCATCAATAAACATATCCTCAGGTGAGGATTTCAAAAAATTAGGATGAACAGATTGGTACAAAAATGCAGGTTAATTAGCTGTGAAGGAGAAGAGGAAAAGAGATAGTAGGTATAGCTTTTATTTTAAAGAAAACAAAAAAACCACATATATATGTAAGTATATATATTATAGTGTGTGTGTGTGTGTGTGTGTGTGTGTGTAAAACCTTGCGAGTCGCAGTAGTGCTCAAGATTTCCTTTTCCCCACATTCCTTAACCCCGGGACTTCTCTTTTACCCAATATTCAGAGCCACAGACAATGCCTATAGTGCTGGACTATTCTCAGAGGAAAAGACAGGTTAATGACATCTATCAGTTGTTTCATAATTTTTCTTCATGTCACAAAATCATAACTAAATTGAAAGCAGTACTTCAGAAACAGAACTAGAAATAGTCTGGTATACCTCCGAGTTTTCTAGCATTTGAAACATTCCTTTGAAGAAATGGTAACATCGTGGGACAGTTGGTCCTGATTTCTAACACATGATAACCTCCCTCAGCCACAGAGGACAGGTATGCAAGCTGTACAGAGAGACGTGTGCACAACTCTCCTTACCACTCAGAAGCCACCACAGCAAAGGGATGAATCCTGGGCTCTCGCTGATATACTTCAAGCCTTTCAAATTGATGCTCACATTGTACAGGGACATCAGCATTAACCTGCAATGCAAAGAGAAGGCGGTAAAGTACTGGCCCCTCCACGCTGCATTGCACCCTAAATCCAGCTCCTGGTTAATGAGATCTGAGCATACTTAGGGGTTTCTTACATACCAGATGTCCAAGTCTGAAATCTGGATGACAAGAAGAGTAAGCAGGAGATATGTAAAATAGTATTTGTCTTTGTGAGTCTACGGGAAAATGGGAAACTAACAGTAATGCCAATAACACCACCTCTTACAGGCTCACAGACTCAAGAGACACAATGTAGAGAGGAAACCTCACAAATCACCTTCATGGAGTCATCTCTTTTGTTACCAATCCTACATTTACATACAGGTGACCATCAATTCATAAGTACAGTGTACTCTGAAAGTTCAATATAGATGTTTAAGTTGAATTCTGTCTTTTCATTCAGTGAACATTACCCATGACGCCCAGGCAGCCAGGTCAGGCCACACGCGCCTGCTGGATCTGCAGCCCGCGGGATGAAGAGCACCGCGACCCCGACCATTCCTAACACCCAGCAAAACAGCAGGCAGCCTAGGCCGGTGGCTCGGTTGGTCGGAGCATCGTCCCACACACCAGAAGGTTGAGGATGTGATTCCTGGTCATGGCCCATGCCTAGGTGACGGGTTTGATCCCCAGTCAGGGTGTGTATGGGAGGTAACCAACTGATGTTTCACACATGGGAAGCAGCTAATCGATGTTTCTCTCACATCAATGTTTCATCCTTCCTTTCTCTCTCCCATTGCATATCCTTGGGTGAAGATTTAAAAACAATAATAAATAAATAAAAATAAAATAAAATAAAACCCAGGAGAAAAAAACAGTATGCAGAGTTAAACAGGCTTTTACAAGCAGTCTTGGGAACTGACCACAACTGGTAGTATAGAGTTTAATGGAAATTGGAAAACTATAAGGACTGGTCCTCACAATACTGCAAAATACAGATCCCAAAAACTTCACAATGCAAAGCAATACAAAAGGCTACACAAATATTTCACAAACCCTTAAAAGGATAGTTGAGCTGGCAAGAAATGAAGGGGAAACATCTCTGACCAAGAACTAAGTGAAAACACAAATTCAGGGAGGTAAGTGCCAAAAATGATAGATTTCAGAAGCACAGAGCTTGTGTTAACGGTTTCAGGCAGACGGACAGCCTCAGACCAACATAAGACAGATTCAAATCACAGACCTCTGCAGAAAGCCAGGAAAAAGTTAATTTTTAAGCTTGGCCTAAGTCCATACTTTTGGTATGGCCTGAAAATGCACAAGCCAACAATTTTAACACAAAGAGACCAGGGATAGGAGCTCTTTCAGCTGCCTGGCCAAAGTAAACAAACATTTTCTTAAAGGACCTTCAGCCTGGTCTTCAAAGAATTCCCACAAATACAGTACTAACAAATACGAGTTCATGATAAAAATCATGAAACACATGAAGAACAAGACATTATTAGTAACAGCGCAATGAACAACTGAGAGCCAAATTTTTTTTAAAAAAGGTCATATACTAGAAGTATCAATTGCATAATAGAAAAACAAGTATATTTAATAGGCATAAATTTACAAAGAAATTTAAAAGATGACCAAGGATCTACTGAGTATTATAAATGACCAGGCACTTCAAAAGAGAACCTAGTAAAACTTATGAAAATGAAAACTATAATAATTAGACATAAAACTCAAGGGCAACTGACACATAGTAAAGGAGAAATACAACAGAATACAGAGCTAAAGAAATGGCAGCAAACAGCAAAGCTAGGAAGCAGGAAGCCCCGCAAGGCCAATCCCAGAACAAGGGAAGCAGAGAACACAAAATCGACCCAGGCCCTGGCCAGCTCCACCTGCGCTGGCTCAAGGCTGACAGCAGGAGCCCAGTGGTGATGACACCTGGCGCCTCCAGCAATGAGGTGCGGGGTTTGGCTGTTGACCACCTCAAGGGAGCCAGAGTTTAAGAATCAGGTAAAGCTCACTACCTGCAAGGACAAACATCAGTTCTCTTCAGGAGAAGACAACAGAGTCCAGAGTCCACAACGTATCTTCTGCAACATTCGGCACACAATTAATATTTACTAGCACGGCCACATGGGGTGAGCAGAGTAAGACGTTTGTTTGGGATGCAAATTTAAGGGGCGTCAAAATGCTCAGTAACCAAGATTGTAAAATGTATTGCATTACAAACTTTTTTAAAAATCAAAAGTGCTCTAGCTGGTGTGGCTTAGTAGATTGAGCACCAGCCTGGGAACCAAAGGGTCGCTGGTTCGATTCCCAATCAAGGCACGTGCCTGGGTTGCAAGCCAGGTCCCTGGTATGGGGTTCGTGAGATGCAACCACACACTGATGTTTCTTTCCCTCTCTTTCTCCCTCCCTTCTCCTCTCTAAAAACAAATAAATTTTTTAAATCTAAAAAAAAAAAAAAAAAAAGCATCAAAAAAATTTTTTAATTTTTTTAAAAATCAAAAATACTGCAAAAATGACTCCACAATTAGCAATATACCATTTTAAATAAAGATGGGAATGCCATAGTGCCATGCCAAGACAGAATGACACCTTAAGTAAAAAGAAAATCAGTAGCAGCGATAGAGTGCACTGAAAAGGGACCAACTAAATAAATGAATGACAGGGTGCACATACATGCTTGGCAGGGAACATGTTTTCTAGTTTTCCGTTTCCCCACTAAACTTAATCTGTCAAAAACCAGCCCCATGGCTTGCTCGTCTTTAGAGCCAACACAGGCTGGTACCTTCCAGGACCCAGTGAGTACCCAATGTAAATACGGGTGAGTGGCTCCCAGAGGCCGAGAGCTGCCGCAGGGCAAACGCGCAGAGGCAGGCTCTCCTCTGCTCCCGAAGACATCCGCAAAGTCCAAGCAGGGCTGGCGTCCACGCAGACACTGCAACCAGTACCTCGGAAGCAGCTCCCACTTCTCATTATGACCCTCAGCCTCCTCACAGGCCTCGGTGTAAGCAAAAATTGCAATCCTTTCATATTTTCTTGACAATTTTTACACCTATCTGGAATCTATGCACTAGTAACCTATTTAATGAGTTATTAAGGGCTATTTGAATGTCATATTCTTGAGGAAAATTCAGCACCTTCGCTAGAATTTTCTGAGGTCTCCAATCCAACATCCCAAAAAGAGAAAAGTGTATAAGGTTTTTAAGAGACGGGGAAGAGAGAGAGGGGGAGAGAAACTTCAATCGGGTGACCTCTCACACACCCCCACAACCTGGCACACAACCTGGGCATGTGTCCTGACTGGGAATCAAACCAGTGACCTTTTGGTTCGCAGGCTGGTGTTCAGCCCACTGAGCACCCCAGCCAGGGTGAAAAGTTTCTACTTTAGATGACCAACAGAGATAGCTAGAATTCCTTAAAATTACATGTGTCGTTTCTGCTGCTTTCATGCCACAAGAGCAGGACTGAGTCATCACAACAGAGATCCTTTGGCCCACAGAGCCTAAAATATTCTTTATCTAGCCCTTTATAGAAAACATTTGTCAGCCCCTGCTTTAGAATACGAAAATAAGAAAAGTCCGTCTTCTCTAGATCTTAAAAGGCAAAGTTAACCTCTGGGAGATAACTGTAATATGGGGCAAATTCCAGAAAATGTGTCCAGTTGAAAGTCTCAGCAAGAGCATTTAATTTTAAGACGTTAAAAATGACTCATGAATTGACAAATATCTTTAAGTTTTCATATTTGGGCAAAATCAGCCCTCCTTAAGAAGTCAAGATAGAACAAACGTAACTGTGACGACCATGGTGATACATCAGACCCCATGTCGTTGCCGGGCTGCACCCCACAGAAGACCAGAGACTTCTCCAAGGTCACACAAGACTTGGCAAACAACAAATCCAGAATGAGTGTCTCGTGCAAATGCTTCTATTCCAACATTTCTATTCCAGCAAAAGTGTTTTGTAAATAAAAATCTCAAGTGTCCAAATGACAAGTCAAAAGAGACAGGCCCTTCAATTGACACTTCTAGTACTGACACACTAAATGCAAATGTCATTTCCAAAGTGCTGAAAAACTGGGAGTCAGACTTCCTCTTCCAATGACAGAAAAGGCAGGCAAACCCTGCTTGCTACCACGGACCTAAGTGGAAGGTTCATTGTAAGTGCATCAACAGGCTGCAAAAGAACAACCTCGCAGGCTATGCAGTCTTGAGAATTTTAGAGACGTCTGACATCAATCATAAAAAGACTGAAAGCGAGGCTAAAATACAAGTACTGGTGAACCTAAAATGCTACAAAAGCATCACAGGCAGCTCTCCTGCAGTTTAAAAGGACACTTCCCTCACCTGGACACACCAGGCTGGGGCAGAACAGTTCTTCCCCGAGAGAAGCCAGAAAGTCCTCCTGACAAGGCTGGCTCACTAGAAGTAAAGGCGACTCAACCAAACTATCTTATTCTTCTTCTGAAAAGAAACTGCAACTACACTCAGTACTTCAAAACATACCCGCAATAAAAATAAGCAAAATGGCAGTTGGGATGTCACCCTCCATCAGACACAAAAACCACACATCAGTCACCTGAAACTGGCTAAATCCAAAGTAGCCCAATTAGCACGATCAATTAATTCTAAAGAACAATGAGCAATAAAAACCCTTACAGAAGACTGCAAGTGTGATATGATAGAGAAGCAACTGGCAGAGCAATCAGACACTTCAGACCACATGACAGACAGAAACCTGCAGCTAGGGGCCTACCGACTTTGAATGAGCAGGGCAGTAATTAACTATTTAACATGCTCGTTTTAGATTCTGTGCCCCCACCCCAATCAAGTTAGAACCTAAAAATCTGCGACCAGTGCCGTATGTAATCAAATATCCATAGATTAATTTTTATCTCCTATGTAACACTGAAAGCACACAAGATACAAAAAACAATATATACCTCCTTGGTTAAGAAAGAAAATCTTGCCCTGGCTGGTGCGGCTCAGCGGATTGAGCACTGGCCTGCAAATCTAAAGGGTCACCAGTTTGAGTCCCAGTCAGAGCCCATGCCTGTGCTGCGGGCCAGGTCCCCAGCAGGAGGTGTGCAACGGGCAACCACACATGGATGTTTCTCTTCCTCTTTCTCCCTCCCTTCCCCTCTCTCTAAAAATAAATAAATAAAATCTTAAAAAAAAAACAAACAGAAAATTTTCTCATAGTCAAATACCCTTTGTAAACTCCGAATACCAACTTCAGGGAGGTGGACACCACTACTGCCATGCATTTCTATAAACTTTTACAAAACAGGTACAGAACTTGACATGTTTGTCTCCGCAGCGGCATACTGAACATAATCTCCATACCACCATGGAATGTTTTCCATGTCAATTTAATTATGTCCCAAGATTATGAAGTGAGAAGACCCGCTTCTGTACGGCACATACTGAGACACACGGGGACTTGGGGCTACCTGCACATGAGCTGTGCCCAGTGGTCAGATGGAAGGCTGCCAACAAAGCATGCAAAGCTCCCTGAAGGCAATTCTCCTCACCTTCCAATGCAATGGACAAGGGCCCATTAGGACCCAGACACAGAGCTACGTGTACCGGAACCAGAGAAGAAACCTAGCCCTCTCCCAAAGCTTTGCCTTAGAAATTGGGGGAGGGGGTTAGCTGGACACGTAAACACGGCCCTTGTAAAGGCCACAGAAGCAAAAGAGACAATGGCTCAGTATCCAGAACACGTAAGGAACAACAGCAAATCAAGAAAAGTACAACCCAATAACAAATGGGCAACAGAAATCAACAGTTAATCACAGAAAAAACTCAAATGTTTTGAACATGAGAAAAGAGTCTCGACCTCATTGGTAATCCACATGTGAAGACGCACAGGCGGGCAGACTATCGATAGCACAAAACTCTTTTTAGGAGAGCAGAATAAATAATGAGGTGCTGAGGGTGAGGGAAGCGCAGACCACTGACGTGAACGTGCACGCTTTGGTGACCGACTTGGCAGTATCTTATAAAACTGAAAATATGTGTGTCCCACTTCGCAAATCTTCCCCTTCTGGGAAAACTGCTAGGGGAAGTCTCACCCAGGTTAGCAGGCGATATTTTTCAAAGATGTCCACTGCAGCATGATGTTTGTAGAGTAAAACCTGATAATAATCTGAATGTCCAGCAGGGAAAAGATAATTGAATGTCCTATCTTCTTTGACGTAAGATACTTAAAAAGAATTAACTAGATCCATAAACAACTTACGGAGTCTATACAAAACTACGTAACTCATGTTATACTGTGTTACATGGATTGCTCATGTGCACATATTTGTCAGTGCACACAAACACCAAAATGGACTAGAGAGTCTGGTTCCAGGTAAGACTGAGTCAACACACCCACCCTCTGGCTTCCACTAAATGTAGCCTCAAATGCTGGACGGAATACAGGGAGCCGCCATGAGAGGCCCAAAGAGTAAACAGCAGCAGGCAGACCGGGAAGACGACCAGAAGCGTAAGAACCACCAAACCCGCAGTGAGCTGGCCACTCGGGCCCCACCCCCGAGTGGCACTGACCCACACAGAGAAGAGTGCCAGGAGACTCTCGTTCAGACTTGAGGAGAGAAAACGGCAATGGCCAGGCCGGCAGTGGGGGGCCCCGGTAACCCCGACTCCCTGGGAAGGCAACCTTCCCCACCACCGGGAGGACTGTGATCCTCTGACCGCCTGCCACTTGGCCCTGGACACAGGCCTAGCTGCAGAAACAGATGACACGGCAGGGCACACAAAATCCCAGCATTCCAGATGAATGACTGGAAAGGGGAACCCTGGGGAACCAACAAGTACCAGAGACACTGTGGGGAGTTAAAGCTCAGGAAAGTGACCCCCACGAGGTTGTTATTAACTCCTGACCTCAGCCCAAAGCTAGGCATGCACTGATCTGGTCCTAAACAGCAGATCTAACATTCAGAGGAGTAAAATGTCAATGATTATCCAGGTCTCATGCTGGCCACAAGGGGCACTCATGAGGGGCAGACCCAAGAGAACTACAAAGGTTTTTGGAAAATGGAACTGACGTCACACAGGGAAGGCTGGTCAGCATTTGCAACCTTAACCCGACCAAGTTGCCTGCCTGCTAAAACAAAATATCAACATTTTCCATAGGATTAAATAAGACCCAGGTTCTCAAAACATAATATTCAACTGTCCAGGATGCGACTCGAAGTTACATCGAAGAAACAGGAAAAATACCAACTCGAAGGTAAAAGACAACCAAGAGACACCAAGGCCAAGATGAGACAGACGTTTGCAGTACCTGACAAAGACTTTAAAGAGGCTATTATAAAAAAAATGCTCTGAAGAAAAGCGAACACTCGAAATCAACGGTATGGCACACAGAATCCTACAACTGCCCACAACTTTCTGCCCTGATTCCCAGGACTGCGCACAGAATCTCACACCCTGGTGAGTTACCGGGCAGAGAGACTGTATAACTAGAGTTACTAACCAGCTGGATCTGAGTTAATCAAAGGGAGTCTATCCAGTTGTCTAATATAAACCCATCAAAATCTAAGCCCATCAAAAGCCCAGAGGCTCCAGGAAGGATTCTGTGAGCTACTGTGGCTTGGAGACAAGGTGGGGTCATGCGATAAGGAATTCAGCCAGCCCTGGAAGCTGAAAGTGGCCCCCACTTGGCAGCCAGCAAGGAAACAAGGACCTCAGTCCTACAAAGGCAAGGACCTGGATTCCGCCAGCAGCCTGAATGCACCTGGATGCATTCTTGCCCAGAGGCTCTAAAAAGCCTGTTCCTGGACAATGCCTTGATTTTGGCCCTGTGAGACCCTCGCTGGAGAACCCAGTCAAGCCCACTCAAGACTTCTGATCTACAGAACTGTGAAGGAGGTGTTATTTTAGCCACTAAGTTGGTGGTACTTTGTTACACAGCAATAGTAAATGAACAGTGATGTTAGTATCTGGAAGTGAGGTTAGTATCTGGAAGTGAGGTACTGCCACAACAAATACTAATTTAATTTCATTTTGAGGTCATTAATATAACTCTCAAGTATCACATGATACCATTTGGAACTTACTGATTGCTTTAAGGTGAAAACATTCTTTTTGTTTATTTTATTTTTCTAAAATAGTATTGAATAGACTACATCCCTGAATTCTCTCCAGGCAATTTGTTCCTGCTATCTTTTTTTAGAAGTACTGCCAAATTAATTGCGTTTTCCTGAAAAAGAAGCCCAATCAGTAAATTATGACTTATCTGTAAATAAACATGAACTTTTCAATACTGTCCACCATACACTTTGAGTTTGGTGCACTGTCCTGGCTTCAAGTCTCCCAGAAGCTGCAGTATGGTGTCCAAAAGCACCCGGCTGGAGTTAACCAGGAATTCACGACCACATGCTATGGCAGCAACATCTGCAACAGAAAGACAAAACCAAGTTTAAAATCTAACTTCAGACTCTAGAAAAGTTGGTCCACGACAAAGTATGTGTGGCTGTTTTTCTCCTCAAAGACCTACTGAAGACACACTAGCCAGCGAGGCATAGGAAAACGGTGCTGTCCGCAGAGCTGACAAGCTAGAAAGAACTGAGCGCCACAGCCGTTACTCAGACCGTGTGCGATGTGCTTTGTGATTAGCAAACACCTAGGTGGTAAAACAGAGTCCTGGAATCGAAACAGGTCTGCAGCCAACCATGGGACAGCAAGCGGACCCTGTGCTCCAGAACCCTGGACTGACAGCTGTGGGCAGCCAGGGTCCAAACAGGAGGCGGAGCTGGTTCCTTTATGTGGGACCAAGGACACTAACACCTACGCTCAATCCTTAGGGTGAAATCCTAATGACTCTGAACCACAATGCCAAACCCAAAATGTGAGGCCCAAGACAGAATGAAAACTAATTCTGAAAACAAGCTTTTTTCCCTCACTTTTACATCCTATTGTGGGTCGGCACCCAGCACATCCCTCACGCCGAGACCCTGGGGAGACCGCGGCATCCAGCGGACACTGCTGCAATTGCCACTGGCTTGTCAGCTGTCCCAACACCTGTGGGGACCATCAGCCACCCAAGTATGTCTATGTACACGTTGGTCCTATTTTTCTAAGTCGAATGACAAAACATGATTCAAAATGGGCAAAGCCTGTGATGGAAGTGAGCCTCCACGTGGGAGAGGGCAGGGCAGCGGCGTCCTTGCTGCCCTCACTTGAATGGAAACGTTTCAAGTCACCACGGCTGAGTGTGGCATGGTGCCTGAGGCATGATTCCAGTAGATACCTTTATTAGTTTAAGGACATTTTCTTCTATTTTCACTTTGCTCAGAATTATCAGGAATTAAGGATGAATTTTATGGCTTACTTGTTCTTTAATTGTATTCTAATGGCAAAATAAGAAGTTTCACCACACTACCAGATTACCCAATTCATGGAATCAGGTCCTGGACATTAATATTTATTTTTGTTTCCTGCACTGAGAAGGATCAAGAGAGGTATGAAGTCTCCTAAACCTAACCATTTTTCTCCATTTCTACTTGTTTTTCCAGCAATTTTTGCCTCATCAATTGGTGCAGTGTTATTTGGTGTGTTGTAACTTCCTGAAGACAGGACCCTCCACTGATAGGACACTTCTTTGTTCAATGAATCTGAACCTGACAACTATGTTTTCTAGCACATGATACACTCTAATTTTCCTAAAGAACTATTTGGAGGAGAAATGAAGCTCTAAATATTTGAAATCATAAAGTCATCTTAAAATAATTTTCAGGGAAAAATATCCTTCATATAACTCCAGTGGACCACATACCGGAACCCCGCAGGAAACCACAGGGCCTCACTATGAACTTTGGTAGCCAGTTTGCAGAAATGACCTCCCAACAAACCATGCCTCTGGTGCAGACCTCTGGGCTATCCCTGACCTATGGCTAAGATGTCACTAGCAGGATGCAGCGGAAGTGGCACCTTATTCCTAAACATGCAGAACCACACAAGCCAGGCTAGGGGAGACCTCAGTCATCATCTGAGGTCTAAGACTCTGTTCTCAGAAGGTGAAATCAACGGTCACAGACACAAGAACAAAGGGCTGGTCAGTGGGAGAAGCAAAGTGGGCAACGGCCTCCCTCCATTCCCATCTTGTCTCCTTTTTCACACACCACACAGCTTCCCTGTGTTAGTGGGAGTGTGTGGACGAAGGGAACAGGAAGTAGAAACATTGGGGGTCCGGGAGAACTGATGGGCACCGACACAAGGGTACTCGACTGTCTTTGTGGAATAATTATGTACATGAAAGATAAGCTGCATCCAGTCCTGTCCATAAATTTTCAATAGTCAAAAGCAATTCTGATTCTGAAATTATTATCTAATATTGTTTGAAAGAATAAATATAGAATAAAGAGGCAAGGAGTGTAACTATGACTTTCAAGTAACCGAAAAACAGAAAAAGCAGTTAGAAAAATAAGTTTTCCACTTGCAAGATACGCAAGTTAATCTTCGTAGGACTGTGATAACAATCTGTCATCTTCTTTTATCTTCTTCATTTGTCCCCTTATACAAGTTATTGCAAACAATCACATCTCTTATGTTGAACAGCAGCTTGGTTCACAATGTGCGTCGCCTACCGCAGTTCAGGAGAATATTTACAACAGTGCATAAGGCCATTAGAACAGGTACTACTGCTCCACTTCGCAGATGAGGAACAGGAAACTCAGAGACCTTATGTCGTGGGACAGTGGACTCGCTGGGCCTGAAAATCCAGACCCTTTCACTATACTGACCTATTACTAAGGACGGTGACTACAGATGAGTAAGAAATCTAACAGCGTTGCTGTTTAAACAAATCCTTGACTTCCAGTTTTTGCTTTAGGATACAGTAAGCTGGAAAGAGCTACACCTCAATTCGTTAAAAGGTGGGGACAGTAATTTGTAAAATCACAACTCTTCTTGAACACATCTGAAAGCTAAGGTCAGAGGTCAACCAGCTAATACAAGAAATAAGAAAAGACAGAGGCTCCAAGAAGAGATGTGAGGCAGGCACTTGCTTACCTGGAGCACACACTGGATGACAGACAAGCCAGCAAGAAAAATGCAGCTAGAAGTTCTGACAAAGTGTCAGATCAGCAGCTGCCTTGGGCTGATGGTAGGAGTGGGGTGACTACAAAAGGAAGGGGTGGGGAGAAACTGAGGAGATTTGGGGGAGGTAATGGAACTGTTCCACATCCTAACTGGTGGTTACATGACAATGTGCATATGTCAAAACTTGGGAACTGCAAGAAGGTGAGCAAAAAAACTGTAAAGGATGAGTTTGTTGTAGGTAACTTCTTAAAAAGAACCCTCGTTTTAGAAGGCAGAGGATCTAAGCGACAGCTAACCACGGGCTCTGCTGCACTGCCTACTCTCCAAGGAACAGGCCCTTAGTATTGGAGATGCATGAGCCCCCAAGGCCTCTGCAAACAGCGCCTTAATAAAACCATCATAGTATGTAATACAACCAGGAAAACTCATCAGTGTGGAAGTAAAAATCGTACGCACAAGTGTCCGCATTCCAACTCTGTGAGAGTTCCTGTGTGAGCCACTCCAAGCAGAGAAAAACAAGCCAAGTTGAGCTCATATGCTGGGCAACAGGCTGGCTCTGCTCACTGGCCAACTGCCTCACCACTACACACCAGCTGGCAATTCAAGCAACTCAAATTCTCAACTCAGCAGAATGACAAGTCACATATGTCATAAACTTTTGGTGTCATTTGCAGATAGCAAAAAATCTAGTCATCAAATTTGCAAATATCCTGTTAAAAAAATTTTTTTTAAGGTACAGCAATGCAAACCCCCTCCAGCAGCAGGTGCGAGGATGAGAGCACACGGTGCCTGCCGTCCTGCAGTGGTTAGAGCGCTGGGGGCACCGGGGTGGGCCTGGGAACCACGAGTTCAAACGTCTGCCCAGAGGACCAGAAGGAGTTATGAAGGGACAAGGTCTGCACAGGCCCTGCCTCGTCAATACTTCAGTAGGTAAAGGATAATGCCATGCGGAAAGATAAACGTTCTCTCTTTAGTGGCAAAGAATTACCCTAAGATAAACAGCAGAGATGAAAAGGCAATGTAAAAATAAGTCACAGCAATCTAACCGTTTCACTGACTGGGAACAAAGAGCCTCCATCCTCGCTAGTACATTCCGCTTCTCCTATGCTGTGAGGTCAGTTATTTGTCTGCTTTTATTCTTTACAGCAGCTGCGCCACAACATTCTATCATAACTGTAACTTTCGGGAGAATTTTACTAAAGGGGCAGTTTAGGCTTTGGAGTTCTTTAGTTACTGTACCACAACAGCAATAGCTTAGCTTCACATAAGCTTTTACTTAACTAGACATTAATAAAGTGACAATAACTCCCAATGTTAAGCAGCTCCACATACAGTTTTGTTCCGACTTCTGCAGTCGCACAGACTTGAATGTGCAAACTCTCCCGCACTTCCTGTGACCAGTCATCTTTGCTCAACAAGACTGCACTATCAGAACAACCTGCGTGATGAGCTGCAGCTCACACACCCGGTACCCACCCCGCATCCACGGAACCAGACTCTCCAGGGTAAGGGCCGCGTTTGAAAAAGTTCCTTAGAAATGTTTATCCTCACGTCCCTGATAGCCATCACTGCTCTAGGACCTACTTAACACAGTTACTGTGTTTAAAAGAATTACTTACTTGTTACAATTCCAGCCAGAGCGAAAACAAACTGGTTTTCATCAGAATCGAGCTCCTTCACATCCCCATCCAGGGACTTCACAAAACTCTCCATTGTCTGACCAGTGATGTTGAAAAATTTCAAAGCTTTATCCTGAAAGTTTAGAAATGAGAATATCATTCCCTTTCACAAATACCAGTATGAAAACATTTTAAAAATGCAGGATACACAAGACAGACCCTGGTGTCAATTACAGGAGCAATATTTAAAAATCTATTCCTCATTAAAAGTTTCTATTGAAAAGATGAGGAAAAAAGGCTTTGCTTTATTTGCTTAATAGAACTACTAGTAGAAAAACTACCTTGAAGACTAATTCAAAGAATAAAATAAAAATACATATGGGAGCCCTGGCCAGATGGCTCAGTTGGTTGGAGCGTCACCCTGAGCTCCAAAGGGTTGCGGGTCCCATCTCCAGGCGGGGCATGTATGGTGGGCAACCAACGGATGTTCCTCTCCCACACGGACCTCTTCCCCCCACCCCCACCCCCACTTCCCTCCCTTTCTAAAATCAATAAACATGTCCTTGGGTGAGGATTAAATACACACACATACACGGGAAACAGTTCAAAATTCGCACAATAATGGAAGTACTGGGATGAATTCACCCAAAGATGTACTGGAAAAATATGTCCTCTGTTTTAGGCATGAAACCAGAGGTTTTCAAACCTTTGGCAAAACTGCTTTTCAAATAAAATCTTAACTGAAATCTCAACATGTAAGAGAAATAAAGACAGTGAACAGGCTTATCTGGCAGTTCGTGACTTGGCAAAAAGTATTTCCAAGTTTGCAGAGCTCCTGCAGCACTTCCCTGAGGAGCTGTGGGGAAACCAGGGCACCGGGGAGCTCCAAGGGCGACACACACGTTCTGCGCCTGGACCGTGGTGATGCTGCCCAAGCCTGGAAGTCAGCTCACCACCCCTCAGTGGCCCACTATGGACGGGTGAACTTGTGGTAAGTTACATCGCAGTAAAGCGCAATACACTTAAAAATACATGTAGTCTCTTGAAAGTCCAGCACAACTGTAATTTTTTAAAGTGATAAGCAGTTTATCACTGGCCTCTGGCCAAACATCCCCTGCTGGCTTTTGTTACTGTTCAGGACACCCCATTCTCCCAGATTCGTGCCTCCGTCTTCCTTGGTTCCGTCTACTCTGTCAGCTGTCGAGTCCACGCTGCCAGCCCACCGGCCTCAGCCACAGGCTCTCCTCCCCTTCCATCTCCCCTACAGAGTGTCAGCTCACTGCAGCCTAAGCCTCTGGAACTCGAATTTGTCTTCCTGTCCCATCTGCAGACCCCACCCCCACCTCTAACCTGCCCGCACTCTCTGCCGGGTGAACCTTCCCAAACTCTCCTCCTGTCCCACCCACTTTCCACCCCCAGGACCCCAGTCCTCCCACGTCCGAGACTGCACCATCAGCCTGCGCTGGGGTCACACTCCGCCCGACCTGCTAAGCCTTCTCTCCCCATGACTTCGCCACACAACCCTCCACTTTCTGTCAACGGACCCTGTCACTGTCTGTAAACAAACTTCAAAGTTTGCCTGATGCCTCCGATATGCCGTTTCTCTCCTCATGGGCTACCCTCCCCATTCTATGCCATCACTGCCTCTTCAGGTTAATCAAGGCCCACCTCAAATCTCTCTCCTTCTGTGGAGTTCCGGGGGGGAGGGGGAGGGGTGTGTGTGTGTGTGTGTGTGTGTGTGTGTGTGCTATTAACATGTATACGTTAAATCACATATAACATTCAGTAAGTTAAACATTGCGTTACCCAATGGATAACATATGTAAAAGCACTTTAAACTTTGTTAAATGTATGCAAGTGCCAAGGAATTATACTTAAGTGGGACTATGGCCACAAACGCCCTACAGCTTCTGGGATCTTGCCGCATTCATTTTACAGACCGCCAGGGCACCAGGTCACAGCGGACCCCACACAGCCAATGCCCCAAACTGTCTGATGAATGAACAACAGAAATGGATGCAGCCCGTAAGCTCTAACAGACACGCTGTTCCCTCCCGGGCCGCACAAACCCTCATCAACAATGCACAGCTGGTTGTGCTTACTCCTCCCAAAATGGCTTTGACGACGCCCTCGCTGCTGGAAGCGCCCCAGAGCAGGGTGCAGGCCGCGGCCCCCATCTCCGTGCAATACTCCGCCTGCTGCAGAAGTTGCTGCTTCGCTTCATTCAGCTGCTGGCGAAGAGCCAGTTTCTCCTGAAATCAAAACAAAATCAGGAAAATGAATAGCATTCAACTTTGAAATATCTCATGTTTTCTCTTTCGGTGATATTTTAAAGAAAAGAAATGCGCACAGAATTATAGAAAACAGTTGGCAAATGAAAACTAATCCTTAGAAAGCCATAATCCATATTTTAAAAATAAACTTCAGAGGCAAAATTAACACTCTTAGAAAAGAACATCCTATTACATTAGAGTTTATAAATACTGCCAAGACTGGGAAACTTTTCATCCAGGGGAGAAAAGGGAGCAGTGGGGCCACAATTTCATCTTCTTTAAGTCAAATGAAAACATGAGGCACCTCAGGTCCCAAGCGGCTATACCCAGGACCCGCACCAGCTGGGACACCTGAACAAGCGACCTCACACAGAGCAGCACTGTCATAAAGGAGCCTGCTGCTTCCAAATGGCTCGTCCCATTGTAAGAATGCCACAGGACACAGCGGGGACCAGTGGGAAAGACGGGAGGAGCGCCAGGAGGGGAGCGCAAAGGAAGGGCCCCCTCGGGCCGGCTGGGCCTCAGGAAGGCGGAGGCTAGGAGAGACTTCTCACTCTCCCAACAGCGGCCTCTGAGGGCGCCCCTGGAGAGCGTGAGCCAGGGCTCCCGCCAAGGAGAGAGACAGTGAGCTGTCCACCCGGCGCCCCTCTGACCGCCACGCACTCCTGAAGGCTCGCCTCTGGGTGGCTCTTGGGGGACGTGGGAACTGCTGCCCTCCCTGACCACCGTCCCCAGTCCCACTAGTCCGTGCTGCCTGAAACTCCCTTAGAAGGTGCCAGCATTTCCTTAATAAGAGAGAAACTTAAAAATATAAAAACATACATTAATTTATTCCGAAGTATAATTAGCTCAATAGCCCACAAAATTAAAGTATATTGGATGTTCCAGGTTCTTCGTTTAGAGAGGTGAGAGTGCAGGACAAGGTCATGGGGCTTTCTGTCTAGGGGAGAAAAGAGGACAGTGGGGCCACGAACCAAACTTTGTTGACCTCATACCTTGGCCTCGAGCAGCCCATTCCTATCCACCTGGAGAGGATGCATCTGGCCTACAGAACTTCATACACGTTCCTACATACAGCGTGGGCAAAACAAGGTTTGCAGTTATGACAGTCCTACTGTACCAATCGTAACATGCATGTCTTTTTCCATATGAACAGCTCTACACCTACTTTTGCCCTACCCTGTATATTCATAATTACTTAGGAGAAAAGTGGTCATGGAGCTAATGAGACCTGCTGACACTGTTTTATGGGATTTTTCAACTCTGGGTTCTTAAAGTCTGACTTCATAATGGTAATCTAGCAGGATTCCTAGGTTCGTTTTTCAGGTGTCTATTGCTGAAGCCACTTAAGTCATGGTGACATATGAAAAAGACTGGGTCACAGCATTTCCTTTAAGAGAGGATTGTGGACCCGGGTGAAAAAGGTGAGGGGATTAAGAAAAAAAAAACCTAACAGAAAAAGAAAACAGTATGGTGACTATCAGAGGGAAAGAGGGATAAGGAGGAGGAAGAAGAGGGTAGAGAGGAGATAAATGGTGATGGAAGGCGATTTGACTTGGGGTGATGAACACGCAATACAAAATACAGATGATGTGATACAGAATTGTAGACCTGAAACCTATATAATTTTATTCACCATCACCCCAATAAATTCAATAAAAAGGGGGAAATAAATAAATAAAAATTTAAGAAAAGATTCTAGCTTTTCTCACGATTGGAGCAGTCTGAATTTCAGTGAGCCTGGCTGTGGTCATTCTTCTTCAAGACCACGTTCCAGCTGCTGAAAGTGACCAGGCAGGGCTGTCTTCAGGATGGTCCCACGTGGTGGCTACGGGCAGACATGCCCTGACAAAGAACTGCACCCGTAGTACAGCAATATCAAAAAAAGAGAAAATCCTCACAGAAAACAACTCCATTCACAATATCAAAAACAAAACAGGGCCCTGGCCAGTGTGGCTCAGTTGTTGCGCATTGTCTCGCAAAGCCAAAGGTTGCCGATTTGATTCCCAGTCAGGGCACAGGCCTGGGTCGCGGGTTCCGTCCCAGTCAGGGCACATACGAGAGGCAACAGATTGATGTTTCTCTCTCACATCGATGTTTCTCTCCCTCTATTTCTCCCTCCCTTTCCTTCTCTCTAAAAATAAATAAAATCTTTAAAAAAAAATGTAAACCTAAGAAAGGTAGTTCATGACCTGTACAATAAAAACTACAAAGCATTATTGAGGGAAAGAAAGGATTTAAATATGGGCAGACCTCATTTCATTGCACTCAGATACTGTGTTTTTTTTTAACAAGTTAAAGATTTGTGGCAACCCTGGTCAAGCAAGTCTATTGGTGCTATTTTTCCCAATTTCGCTCACTTTATGTCCCTGTATCATATTTGGGTAATTCTCCCAATATTTCAAACCTTTTTTTTATTATTATATTTGTTATGATGATCTGTGATCGGTGATCTTTGATGTTACTATTGTAATTGTTGTGGGAAGCAACAAATGGTACCCGCACCCATTTAAGACAGTAAACTTAAGAAATGTCGTATGTTGTGACTGCTCTATTGACCAGCCATTCCCGTCTCTCCCCCGAGGCACAATAGTATTGAATTTAGGCCAATTTATAACCCTACAATGGCTTTAAGTGTTCCAGTGAAAAGAAGAGTCACACATCTCTCACTTTAAATCAAAAGCTAGAAACAACTAAGCTCAGCGAGGAAGGCATATGGGCAGCTGAGACAGGCCGAAAGCTAGTCCTCTTGCACCAGTTAGCCACGCTGTGAACGCAAAGGAAAAGGTCTTGGTGGGAATGAACAGTGCTAAGGTGATATGAAAGTGAAACAGCCTTATTGCTGATATGGAGAGTTTCTGGTGGCCTGAACAGAAGATCAAACCAGCCACATTTCCTTTGGCTAAACCCCAATCCAGAGCAAAGCCCTACCTCTCCCCAATTCTATGAAAGCTGAGAGAAGTGAGGAAACTACAGAAGAAAAGTCTGAAGCTAACAGGGGTTGATCACGAGGTTTACAGAAAGAAGCCAGCTCCATAACATAAAAGTGGTAGGTGAAGCAGCAAATTCTGCTGTAGAAGTACAGCAAATTATCCGAAATATACAGCTAAGACAATTAATGAAGGTAACTACACTAAATAACAGATTTTCAATGTAGATGAAACAGGCTTATATTGGAAGATGCCATCTAGGGCTTTCCTAGCCAGATAGGAGAAGTCAATGCCTGGCTTCAAAGCTTCAAAGGACAGGCTGACTCTCTTGGTAGGAGCTAATGCAGTTGGTGACTTTAAGTTGAAGCCAATGCTTATTTACCACTTAGAAAATCCTAGGGCCCTTAAGAATGTGCTTACTCTGCCAGTGTTTTAGGAATAGGACAAAAAAGCCTGGATGACAGCACATCTAGTTACAATATGGTTTACTGAATAATTTAAGCTCACTGTTCCGACCTACTGCTCATAAGAAAATTCCTTTCAAATACTACTGCTCACTGACAGTGCAAGTAGTCACTCAGGAGCTCCGGTGGGGATGTACAATGAGAGTTAGGTTGTTTCATGCTTGCTAACACAATATCCATTCTGTAGCCCACAGGTCAAGGAGTAATTTAGACTTTCAAGTATTACAATTTGAGAAATACATTTAGTAAAAGCTCTAGCTGCCATCGATAGTGAATTCTCTAATAGATCTGGGCAGAGTACATTGAAAACAAAACTTTCTGGAAAGGATTCCCCATTCTAGCTGTCATTAAGAACATGTGTGATTCATAGGAAGAGGTCAAAATGTCAACATTTATGGGAATTTGGAAATTGATTCCAACCTTCATGGATGACTTTGAGGGGTTCAAGGCTTCAGTGGAGGAAGTAGCTGCATATATGGTAGAAACAGCAAAAGAACTAGAATTAGGTCCTGAAGATATAATTGAATTGCTGAAATCTGATGATTAAACTTCAACACATGAGGATTTGCTTCTTATGGATGAGTAAAGAAAGTGGTTTATAGAGATGGAATGCACTAATGAAGATGTTGTGAAGACTGTTGAAATGTCAACAAAAGATTTGGGATATTACATAAACTTAGTTGAGAAGGCATCAGTGGAGTTTGAGAGAATTGACTTCAATTTTGAAAGAAGTGCTGTTGTGGATAAAATGCTATCAAACAGCATCACATGCTATAAAGAAATCACTTGTGGAAGGAAGGGACAATCAATGCAGCAAACTTCACTGTTGTCTTATTTTAAGAAATTGTCACAACCACCACCCTGATCAGTCAACAGCCATCAATACTGAGGCAGGACCCTCCACCGGCAAAAAGAGTATACCTCACCAAAGTCTTAGATGATAGTTACATTTTCTAGCAATAGAGTATTTTTAGTAAACGAACAGACACTCTTTAGACATAATGCTATTTACTGCACACTTAATAGACTGCAGTATAAACATAAATTTTTATATGCACTGGGAAATCAAAATATTTGTGTGACTAGCTTTATTACAGTGGTCTGGAATGGAATCTACAATATCTCTGCGGTAAGCCTGTAAATGGAAAAACACACTATGTTCATAGGTTGGAAGACTTGAGATTGGTAAATTGGTAATTCTTCCCAAATGATTCATAGAGTCAACACAATCCCTATCAAATTTTCAGTAGTCTTTTTTTTTTTTTTACAAAGTAATAATCTGATTCCAAAATTGATATGGGAATGCAAAGTTTAAAAATAATACTATAAGAGGTCTAACACTAATTTCAAAAACGAGAACTTCCCATAAAGCTATAAAAATCAAACCAGTGTGACACTGGCGTAAGAACAGATGCATAATAGTTCAGTGAAACATTAACGTTTATGGCAATCAAGTTTAACGAAGATGCCAAAGCAATTCAATGCCAAAACTGTCTTTTCAAAAAATGATGCTGAAAACAAGTAGATAGTTGTATGTGAAAAAAATTAATTCAAAATGAATCATAGATCTCAATGTAAAATTTCTAGAAGGCTTCTGTGAACTTGCGTTAGGCAAACATTTCTTAGATATCACAACAAAATCATGATCCATTAAAAAAAGTAAATTGAATATCAAAATTTAAAACTTTCTTCAAAAGACAGCTTTAAGAAAGTGGAAAGTCAGCCATGTACTAAAAGAAAATATTTCTAAATCATTTCTCTAAAAAAGATTTGCATAAAGAATATATAATGAAATCTTTTAACTCAAAAGTAAAATAAACCACCCAATTAAAAATAGGCACAAGATTCAAGTAGATATTTAACCAAATAAACTATACATATTAATAATAAACACATGAAAAGATGTTTGACTTAACTAGTAATGAGGAAAGTGCAAACTAAAACCACAATGAGATACCATTACATGCACACTAAAATGGCTATAATCCAAAGAACCAAAAATACCAGTGTTCACAAGAATATGGAAACAGTAGGACCTTCATACGTTGTTGTGTGGAATATAGAATGATATAAATTTCAGTAAATAGTTCAGCACTTTCTCAGAAAATTAACCATATGCTCACCATACAAGCCAGCTATTTTACCTCTAGATATCTCCCCAAGAAAAACTGAAATATATGTCCACACACAAACTTGTACATGAATGTTCACAGCAGCATTCATAATACTCAAAAACTGGAAATAATCTAACTTTATTTATAAACTAGTGAATGGATAAAGAAAATGTGATCTATCCAGCGAATGGATTATTATTCAGCACTAAAAAGAAACAAACAGTGTAAGCTAACATCAATGAACCTCCAAAACATTACACCATACACAAAAGACTATGTATTGTATGATTCCATTTCTATAAAATTTTCAGAAAAAGGAAATCTATAGAGACAGACAAAAGCATCTACAAAAAAACCTACAGCTAAAATCAATGTCAATTTCCTGGTTCTTACTTTGTCCTGTAGTTGCGCAAGATGTTACCACTGGGGAAACTGTGTAAGGGTACAGGAGACCTCCCTGGACTTTTTGCTACTTCTTGTGAATCTATAATTATCTCAAAATAATTTTTTTACCAAAAATCAAACTGGATTGGGGCCCTGGCCAGGTAGTTCAGTTGGTTAGAGCATCATCCCCATACACAATCAGGGCACATTCAAGAATCAACCGGTGAATGCATTAGTAAGTGGAACAACAAATAGATGTTTCTCTCTTTGAAATCAATAACTAAAATTTTTTTTAAAACTGGATTGGGATGTCGTTATACAACTGCATAGATTTATTAAAAAGTATCAAACCATACTGGTAGAACAGATGAATTTTGTGGTATATAAAATATATCTCAATAAAGCTCTTTTAAAATAAACAATACTCAAACCCTGATATATTTTCCAGCTTAAAGTGCATACTGATACATTACAGGGTAACAAGAACGCTTTCAAGATTCCTTCAAAAATCTGTAGTTCATTTCTGATTTTTAACTCAACTATACTATCGGTTAATTTTTCTTTTAAAAAGTGTTCTGAAATAATGTACAAAGTTTGCAACTTTCCTTTTATCAGCATAAAAGTAGTAAACCCTTTCCTACCAAATTAAAAATAGAGATAACAAAAAAACTGGCAGTCTATACTTGAGTTAGTTTACTGACTGTGAAAGGTGCATGCTATCCGAGAGCAACACACAGAGAGGACGAAACCACAGGCAACGCCACCAGAAAGGCCTGCTCCTCAAGAACACAGGGCAACGGGGCCCTGTTGGTGACCATTTCACATGCAGAAAAGCCACCAGGTACTGAAAAAGGTCTGCCAGCGGGAGCTGTGTGGAAAGCCTCCTCTAACCTTAAAGTGACAGCACAGTCGTTCGAAAAGCCGAAAAGCCGAAAAGCCGTCTCGACACCCTGTGACAGTTTCACCTACACTGTGAAAGCTGGGCTCTTTCTTCTCCAGAGTTCAAAGGCTACTTTGCAAGGTCTTTCTGTGCCAGTCCCTTAGATCGCATCAAGGCCCAGCTGGCCTCCTCCACTGATCCGACTCAACCACCACTGAGGTTAGGAACCAAATTTTCCTTCTTCCAGTCCCCATTCTCTAGAGGGGTTGGGAGCTGCTGCTTTATGAATGAGTCCATACTCTGTGATCTGATCTTTTCATACACACTGGATTCAGGAGCTCCCGCCTCTCCCCAACGGCTTTCACTCACACTGAAGTACTTATTAGCAATACGCTGATTTAGGGTACAGCCCCTGGATTCTTTCCTCGTTCTTCAACTCTAAAGATAAGCTCCCAGAGTCTGGCACATGACCTGTGCAGACCTGGACAGAGACCACAGAAAAAGCAGCTGCAAGTTCTCCACAGCATGAAGAGGTATGGCCTTGTTACACACACTGGAATTATATCGGCAGGCCTACTAAACAGCAAACTTAACTGGAAACAGGTTAACCTAAAATATTCCCACTTTAACTAAGGTCGAGTGTGAGGGCAATAACACTATGGCGATGCGAAGCTGCCTCACCATGGCCTTTTGTCCTCTACACTGGCACTTCAGCAGAACAGCTTATTTTTAAGCATTACATCTCTCTAACATGCCAGCAAACATGCATTTTACCTATGTTTTAAATTTTAAAAGAAAACAAAACAGGAAATCTAAGATTCTGTTTAATTGAAACTTCAGCCTTAACAAGGAGATCTCAGCAATTTAAGAACTGAACCAATGGGCTGCACTGTTAACATTGATCAAATTCCTTGACTGCTGGTCATCTTCTTTCAGCTCATAGGACCTTTCAACTTTTAGAACCACATTCACCACACTGCAATTTTAGTTTATTATGATCTAAGCAGAATATGTCAAAGCTAAAATTTCACCTTTCAGGATGTGATGTTCCACCTAACTCAGTTTTGAGACTAAAACTCTTGCCCTAACCTTTTCGATTTGCTCAGTATTAAAGTCTATACAAAATCCCCGTGTTGGAAATCCTCTTTGAGCCACACTCAGAATCCCTTCGCATACGAAGACTACGAAACAAAGCTTAGCGCAGAGGCAGGGGACCTTCCTGCAGAGGAGCAGGGCCCACTGCCCCAGCTGTGCCGGGGGACTGAGATGCGGGCACAGCTGCTGACCGCTTGCCAGCATGCAGTGAACAGTACACGCTAGCTAGTTATTACTAGTACCATTTCTGTTTTACTATTCAAAAGTAAAAATACATTCAACCTCCATATTTTACCATAAATGGCAGAAGAGTTTGTTTTACAGAAGAAATAATTCTTCCACATAAAAAAATAAATGTGTAATTTTAAAGTAATATTAGTCTCCCCTAATAGTACAATTATTTTTAAAATATCAGTAACTAATCCCCTAATTACAAATATTTCTGATTTAATATCTCTACCTCTGAATATAAATTATGTGCACAATGTGTTTTCAAAACTTTTATGAATTTTTGTGTTTTGGAATGGTCCTTTAAACATAAAAATTAACAGCAATTACCTATTAAAAGGCACCAAGTAAATAATCTCCACATTAAATGGTTATAAAATCCAAGTGTTCAACTATTTTTCCAACCCATTCAGAATCCATCCATTTAAAAATACCGTCCCCTAGGGCCTAAAGGCTAAAAAGGCTGCCGCCACCACCACTGAGCGCGGACACAGCCACGATGCTGGCGCTTTAAGCAGCAGTCTGTGGGCATCATACCTTCTTCTCTTTCATGCTGTCGGCTTGCACGGTTTCTAGGCGGGCTTTAAAGTGCTCACAATCCATTCTCAGTTGCTCTAATTCTTGCTCCTTCCTTTCCAGGTCTAGAAGAAAGAGACATAAATACCCACTATTTCAAATCACTAATGTCTCTTAAGCATCCATTTTGCCCGATCTCTTGAAAAATGTACACGGATAACTAGTCCTTGAAGAATAACCAATATTCTAAAAGTCCTGCCTTTTAAGTTTGTATCAGTTTTTAGCCCATAGTAAAAAGCACTTTTTTGTTTTCTGCTTTGTGTTTTAGGACCTCACTTGACTGCCAAACTTACATGCAGGCTTTAAGAAAGTGTGTATTTAAAGGACTGGAGGCAGGGCTGAGAAGCCGACTGCCTCATGGCACAAACTTGTATCTGCTCCAGAAAAAGCAGAAGGCAGCTCAGTGAGTAGACAGCGCCAGCCGGAGCTGATTCACAAAGCTGGTCTCTCCAACGGGCAGAGTGACTCAATGGGACAGCTGCAGTCATAGTCAATGGAGGAGAAATGGTGATGGAGACAGGAAAAGGCTACAGTGAAAGGTGGGGACTATGAAACGCTTCCTCTACACCATATTCACTTAGATGATTTAAATGACCAATAGAAATCCAAAAAGACATCCACATGAATTTAAAATCAAACGTATTAGCACTTTAAATGAAGAGCATTTTGCAGCAGAAATACTGGCATTCGAAAAGCCATACCTAACTTAAAAATGTAAGTGCCCTGATTCCGAGGGCTGAGAAATCATCAGTATGTATGCCGACATGTACCAAGATTGGGAGGACATGTGTGCTCAGAGCTAATGGTGTCGGTTCTCTGATTAAAGCAGCGATGGCCGAGGACAGCAATTCTCAGACTTTAGAGGACTTGTTCAAACACAGGCTGGGTCCAGTCCTCAGACTGACTCAGTAGGACTGAGGTAAAGCCTGAGACTGCGTTTCTTCTAAGTCACCCGGTGAGGCCAATGCTGCTGGTCTGGGAACGGACGTGGAGGACAACTGCTTTGGGACAACAGCCTGGTCTGTCACCACTAACTAAATGACATCAGCACACAACTAGTGAGAGCAATTGAGGGAAGCCAGCTGTAGGAATGCTAAAGGGCAGAAAAACAGAGATGGTGAGAGAGCCTGAGAGAACAGACCCCTAAATAAATGGAACATTACTTCACCGTAGAGAAATGTGGCCTACAGACACTTCCTCCAGCGAGGAGCAGACAAAAGAGAAGGGGTGTGGCTTTGTAACCTTGGGGTCTCAAGAGAGAGGGCAAGCGGAAGGCCAAACAAGAAGCTCAGAGGGCCTGCCAAGAACAACAAGGGCAGCCCAAAGGCTGTGGAGAATGGAGGGAGTGTGTATTTCCTAGAGACCCTTTGTACTGGAAGGAAAACTAAAACCTAAAGCTAAATATTCAGATAGAGATTATGAAAACGGCGAAGCTCTTTTAAAAGGTGTTTCTTAGAAACCAGGGTGAAGAAACATGAGATTATTTCTTCTCCCTTAAATCGTTTTTCTTCTGCCCTGTTATGATGTCTTATGCCACAACGTGACTTTCACTGGCATTCTTTCTTTGGTCCCACTAATCCTGACCACACAAGAATTAACTATCAATCAAGTGCTATGCTTGGAAAATTACACAGTTGACTTTTGGAACAATGCTAAATGGAGACATATACTTACAGATGTTACTTATAATTACATATGAAATAGGAACTGGTCACAGACAAAGAAACAAAATGAAAAAAAGGAACTAAGACCAAGTTACTGGTATAAATTTTCTGCAGTTAACTTTAAATGTTTCTTCTATTATTAAACTGCATATTACTTAAACACAGTAAAGAAAATAGGAAATTACAATTCTACAAGCCTTATTATGTGTAAAAATCTGTAGGAATTCTGACTCATGGTAATTTCATAATCTCTCACTAGCTATGGACCACCTCATTGTAGGCTAACATAACAAAAGCACAGGGCTAAAACAGCCCGCTCTACCGGAGCCACCCCACAGCGTGTAGTCAGTGCCCGGGATGGTCCCCGGGCCCCCCACGGGCTCTCCAGGAGAGGGCACCGCTTTCCTCAGTGCAAGGCCACCGCCTTGTGGCCAGATGGGAGCACTGCCACTGCTGCCGCCTCCTGACAAAACTGCCCCCTTGCATTTTCTTTATTTACTTATTTTTTTGACTTCAACAATAAATTTTTTGTCTCCCAATTCTAGAGGCTTCAAGTCTGAGACCAAGGTGTCAGCAGAGTCGGTTCCTACGAAGAGCTGTGAAGACCTCTATCCTTGGTTCACCTTCTCTTTCGGTCTCTTCACGTCATCTTCCTTCTATACGTATCGCTGTGTCCAAAATTCCCTTTTAAAAGAACATACTTTGTATGTTGGATTAGAGGTCATCCTAATTATCTCATTTTAACTTGATTATCTCTGTAAAGCCCTGTTTCCAAATAAAGTCACATTTTGAGATACAGGAGGTTAGGACTTCAACGAAGAAATTCGGACACACTGGCATTTTCAGCTTTGCCTACACCATGCCTGCCACATAAAACACCATAGGGCATGTAGTAGGCACTTCATAAACATTTGTCACAAAAATAAACTTCAGCCATGGCTGGTGTGGCTCAGTGGATTGAGCGCCAGCCTGTGGATCAAAGGGTCGCTGGTTCACTTCCTAGTCAGGGCACCTGCCTCGGTTGCAGAACAGGTCCCCAGTAGGGGGGCTTGAGAAGAAACCACACATTGATGCTTCTCTCCCTCTCTTTCTTCCTCCCTTCCCCTCTGTCTAAAAATAAATAAAATCTTTAAAAAAAAAATCAAAAATAAATTTCACTTCTTTATATATTTCACTTCCTTCTGCTAATCCCTGAATAAAAACACAACTATTTTGATTATGTTTCATTCTTCTATAATGAGATTACTTTTGCAATTTTTTAAAAAATCAGAGCCAGGAATAATATGAGCAGTGAATGAAATATTATATATAGTCAAGATTATCTTGCCCAGCCTCACTATTAGAATAGGGAAGGAGCTGCCATTCAGCCTACAATGTATTTCAACAGCTAATCTTTAGCATTCAAAATGAAGGAGAAATCTCCATTTTACTGCTAGTTGAATCAAAGGGCGGCCCAGACAGAATGCAAACATCTAAATAACAGGCCATTTCAATATCTATGTATCTTGTGAATTTTAGAATCCTTTTTGATCGTTTTAATAACATGAGAATGACTGTATCTCTTAATGCTCAACTGATTCACAGGAAAGGTACAGAGAACTATGTATGGGCAGGATAGAGAGCTATAAATAAAAACACTAATTTAAACTATACAAAAGGAATCAAAGCTCCTGACCTTTATCACTTGGCATGTCTAGAATAAATTAACAGTTGTTTCATATTAATATGAAAATATGTCTCTGATCAAAATAACTAAGGAAAAGGTCTCAAATCCAAAGTAAAATCTTTTAAAAAGCCATTAACTTTTACTTTCTTATCACTCTCTAATAGGTCTAGAAAAGAATTTAGGGTTAGCAACTGATGGGATTCCACCTTTAGTCTGAGCTGAGATTTGGAGGGTATTCATTTCTTGATACAGACTTCCCCCGCAACGGAAAAGGAGAGTGTTCCTATGAAACCTTCATAAGCCAAAATGATGTCAAGTGAAAAAGCAATTACCTTAGGACACGTCTTGCTAACGGATGCACAAATAAATGGATATAAAGCCCAGGTGCTAACAGACTCAGCTGAAGCCCAGGCGGCTTGAGGGTAAGATGCTGGGTGCGGTTCCGGCGGGACCGCTCTCCCTGCCCTAGGTGCGCGCTGCCTCCATGACCACTCGCTGCAAAGCGAATGATGCTCTTTTCACTTTCAGCCTTTTTTTATAAAAGCAGAAATTGTCTTTGCATTGCTTTCAATTAGCAAGAATAGGTACTAACCAATGTAGGTCTTTTCTTAAAGGTAAGTGTTGGAATGCAAACTTTCAAAAAGTGGGGGATACCTGTACCACACAAACTAGGTGGCTTAGAACAGAAATAAATGTATTCTCTCACAGTTTTGGAAGCTACAAGTCTGAAATCAAGATGTTAATGGGCCAAATTCCTTCTGAAACCTGCAGGGGAAGGACCCTTCCTTCCTCCCCCACCCTCTGGCTTGGGGCAGCACAGCTCCAGCCACCACCGCCCTCATCTATCTCGTCCCATCATCTTCGCGCTGTGTGCATTTGTTTCTGTGTCCAAATTTCTGCCTCTTCTAAGGAGGACTAGGGCCCGCCTAAGACCTCATTTTAACTTAATTTCCTCCCATCTCAGTGTCAGAGGCAGCATGTTGAAAATGTACGTTGAACAAGCAAAAAAATTAGAATATTCAAGATTTCTTTTTTTTTAAACCCTCAGTTTTAATGTATTTGAAATCCCAGGGCCCATTCTAAGCCAACCAAACAACACTTTAATTAGCTGTCAAATTTCTACAACAAACCAAAGGGGTGGGGGGTGGGAGCTTGGAAGCAGAACATGGAAACAGCATTTTTTTCTTCTTGCACTGCCAAAAATCTGCTTCCAAAAACCACTATTTTTCTAACATAAATGCCACTGGAGTAATCTTTTACAGAATGAAGAAAATGTGTGACTAACAGGGATTTGTCCTACGCTGGCGCTGCCAATGTACCTGGCATTACCTTGTATCACTAATTTTTCACACCTGCATGTGAGAACGCCTCAGTCTACCTGCAAATTATCAAAAAAAAAAAAAAAAAAAAAAAGGTGATTCATTCTTCTCCTTTTTTACATGCCCACATTACCTAGCTGTGCCTGACAAATACCCAGCAGATAATATCTATCAGATTGACTTATCGACTACATTTACAGGAAGACTTTAAATATCACAATAAAACTATGCTCCATCTTGCTGAACTCAAATGAACTGTTAAAAGTCTTTCCCAAATCAGAGCCATTTCACTTGCATTTCATTTATTGGCATACGACTACAAACACAATGTTAACAACTGGGGCTCAGGAGTGATCTACTCCAATAATGTCTCTATGCTCTTGGCTACCGTTCAACCTCCTCTGGCCATAAGTCCG